GAGGTCCACGACCAGGTGGATTGGCCGCGAGTGCCTTATTCCCAGGGGCATCACTATGACCGCGCAGATCGCGCGTACATGTCCCCGGGGAGACGTGAGGACGCCGGGGAGCCGAGGGCCGATAACTGGGTCCGGTTCGACCCGGGGACGTTCGAATGTCTACAGCCGGAATTCATGAAAAGGGATGCCGGCCCTGGGGACAGGACAGTTGTCAGGCCACACGTCACCGATGGTGGTGGTGAGTCCGGGGCGATGGTGGTGGTGAGTCCGGGGCGGTTCCAGTCGAGCCGGCGCGTACGGATGTGCCGGTGGGGGACGAGGACGCTGTGGCTGAGGAGCCTGCGTCGTCCGCGCGACGTCGGATTTTCACCGAGTTAGGCGTCTCTGAGGACGAGATGCTACAGTTAGTGAGCAACGCCGAATTCGTGGCGGTTGTAAAGCGCCTCAAGACGGCTTCGAACGGGGAAACTTCCGTGTACGGGACCGACGGTAGAGGGAGACCCCCCCGATTCGGAGGAAGGGTCGGTACCGTCGGATGCGCCATGCGCGCCAGTGGCGGGGGTGGAGGAAATCCTCGCCGATTACGAGTCGTCGAGCTAATTGGCGAGGAGGGTCTTCCTCCAGCCGGTCCCCCGTCTTGACTCCAGGGGCGAATACGGGAGCGCGAAGAGGCACTATAGTAGCTAATAAACGCAGTCCCTTCTTGTATCGTTACCCGTAGTGTTGGGATCTGGAGTCGAGGGAGACGAACGGATCCGAAAGGACAGACATCTTATCTGAGTGACGGGCGAGTCAGCCTAATGAGGGTGACCGACGGGGAATAGGTCTTATACTGTCCCCGTGTATGCGATCGGAGGTGGTCGGAGGGCGACGTAGTTGCGAGACCATCTGGGCAACTAAGGCCAGGCGGGTGGTTCCCCGTGTGGACATCCCCCCCGAGGGGTGGTTACCTCGGCATGGGTACTTGGCGGAGCGAGTGCTCCGAAGTCTCCAAGGTCTGAGGGATTTTTTTGGCCCTTGATAGGGGTACTGTACCGACTCGGAAGTATGGGTGGTCCGAGTCGGGTGTCACGGGTTTACCCCCAGGTAGCGAGCACTTTATTCGTGGCGAGTACCCGCCGTCCGTCGCGGCGCACAGCCTTCCTTCCCGTGACGGTTGGGGGTCTTCTCCACATCTCGGAGGGGGGCTGTACCCGGCTCTCGGGAGAATCGTCGCGTAGCTGACGTCGTCGGTTACCCGCGCCGGTGGGGTGTGTCGCGAGGGACACGCTCGATAAAGAGGTGCCGCGAGGGTTAGCCAGACGGGCCGTGCGTCGTCTCGCTATCGACGTGCTCGGACGTTCCCCTGCAGTAAGGGTTGTCGGTCGAGGGGGAGGCCAACGGGGGGCCCTGCTAGAAGGTGCTATGGCCTCGTGTGGAAGCGCGGCGCGGCGGTGGTCGGAAGGGATCTCAAATCGGGATCAGGATCACCTGGTGACCCCGCACGATTTCTCCACTTCCGGTAGAGAGGTCGCTTGGGGACGCGGAAAGGCGACCGTAGGGTCGGGCGACATTCCGCGACGATGGCGAGGGCGTGCAGCAACCGGAGGGGGAATCTCTTGTAGGGAGACGACCACCGGCGGAGGCGGGACGCGTGGCGGCGGGGGAAAGGTAGATGAACAGGGGCGCCCCCACCCGGGGGGTTGCGATGGTCTGTGGCCCGGGGGAAGCTCGGATGTGAGGAGGCGTGCGATATGACAACGGAACTCCTCCCTGAGCCTCTATACATACCTTACGAGTCGGCGTTGGCTCCTCCGCCGGAGGGGGGGGTGGCTTGACCCAGAGGCCCACCAGACACAGAATGCAACTAGGTGGTTATGGCAGGGGTCAGTTAGCCAGCCCCACGCTGTCCGGGTGTGACCATAACTGGACGTTCGGTGCGGGGAGACGTTTGCGTTTGCAGAATCGCGCGACGGTATTGTAGTCGATGTAATTTGCGGGCTCCCAAGTGTCATCCTCCGACGTGTATCCGTACCAACGGACGCGGAATAGAGGCATCCCGTCCGTTCCCGGCTTGTATCCCGTTAGCGCGTCAACCACGTAGGTTTGTGTGGCCTCCTCCATAGGGGAAGGAGGTCGTTTCGTCGCCTCGGCGGGCGGGCTTGACGCGTTCTGATATGAGGAATCAACCGCAGTTGGCGGGTGAGGAGGGCTTCCCGGGGACATGAGGAGGCGTTGCCCGAAGGTACACATAGACGGCTGCTACCAAAATCTTCCGCCTTTTGGATCGTGAATCGGGCATTGACCCAAGTAAGAAGACTGGAGAGGTGTCTTCAATTTCCGGTCATCTGGCGGCAGAAGGGTTGCGATTTGAGTATCCGTCGCGTCCGGACGTTCACGTTCTTCGAGGGGCATCCATTGAAGTATCTCAGGGCCAAACGTTAGCATTGGTTGGAGCTAGTGGATGTGGAAAATCTACGACTATTGCCCTTTTGGAGCGATTCTACGATCCTCGCGAAGGGACTATTCGAATTGATGATACTGAAATCCGAGAGTACAACCTGAATCACCTGCGATTCAACTTGGGTCTTGTTTCCCAAGAGCCTGATCTTTTCAATAGTAGTATACGGGACAATATTGCCTACAGGCTGGACCACTCTGATGGGACTCCGGTGACAGATGACACGATCATAGCAGCTGCAAAGGCTGCCAATGCTCACTCATTCATTTCAGAACTGGAAGACGGATATGACACTGTCGTTGGCGCACGGGGGGAAAGACTTTCAGGCGGGCAACGGCAGCGCGTGGCAATCGCTCGAGCGCTTGTGCGAGAGCCCCGAATCCTTCTACTGGACGAAGCAACTTCTGCACTCGATGCGGTGTCGGAGCGAGTTGTACAAGACGCGTTGGACAAGGCAGAAGCAGAACGCACGACGGTGGCCATCGCGCATCGGTTGTCTACAGTGAAGAACGCCGATGTGATAGCGATGGTGTCAAAGGGTCGGATTGTGGAAAGCGGAAAACATGAACAGCTGCTGCGCATTCCGAATGGAGAGTATGGGAACCTGGTTAAGAACCAGTTGACTGAAGCGACCTACGAAGAATGAACACCAAGACGCATCAGTTTGCCCTCGTAGCGGGATGCGTAAGCAGTCATCTGGTTTTCCGAACTTGCTGTACGTAGAATATGAGGCGTATGTACATGTACTGTACTGTAGAGGCTTGCTGAAGTGATCTGAATGGTGAGGATGATGTGGAGCTGTCCCCGCGACAGCCATCCTCAAAAAGAAATTCGCCGCCCGAGGTCATGGGCGTCCGTGGGCTGCGTAATCATTGTGTGATGTCTCAATCTTTAATAACCGCAAGGCCTTCCCTGTTGTCATGCTTCCCTGTGCTGCTCTGAACGTTAGACTTTGTTTGAAGGAAGAAGGCTTGAAATACTGTAGACGGAGCCGGATCGAAAGGGCGGGGGTAGAATCATAGATAAAAGGGGAGGATCCGGCGGCATCTATTTCCCTGCGTGTAGCTGTGAAGGAAAGGCCGCGTATCCGTTGTGAGGGTCTGATTGGGCACGGTGCGGGGTCTCTGAAGAAAATCCTATCCTCTCACTGTGCACCGTACACACTTGCACGTACAGTATCTCACTTGTCTTACACGTGGACTTGAGGTCTGGTATTATTAATGTAGAACAGACCCACAATGCTTTAAGCACCCCAAAATGACTCTTCACAGTGAAAAGGGAAAAGGAGGGAGAGTGCGAAAGGGCCAGAGGGCGAGGGCGGGAGGGGGTTGGGACAGGGAGGGGCACGGAACAAGGAAATGATTCCAAGGTTAGTTTAGAATTGGGGGAGGGCAAAGGCGAGGGCCAGAGCCAGGGCGCAAGACAATGACCATGGATGTTTTCGACATTTTGAAAAGAGAAGCGGTTGTACATTGCCCTCATTTTTTCACTTTGGTAGATGATGCCGACCTGGGACTTTGGTCCAATATCATGAAAGCCTTTACCCCCTGTATTCTAAAAAGGCTCGGAAAGCTATCGGCCTCAGCGACACCAGCTCCGGCTGCGACGGGGAAAAGTAACTATCTAGAGACACCGTGCCACGAAGAAATTGTCGATAGCGACGCTGAAGTGGGCTGAGGCCCTATGGTCTCTTGTACGGCACGCTGTACTGCACAGTACTTAAAAAGGTTAAATAATGTGGAAATATTTTCTGCAATAGCACCGTCTGCACTGGTCGCAACTTCCGCCCCTAAACCATCTCGCGTTGTTCAGACTCTGAACAGCGCGAGATGGTTTGCGTGTTACCTTGTGAAGAGAGGGGAAGAGATCTGCGGCGGCTCAGGTCCTTTCTACCTGGCCCTTCGTCATGGTCAGCAGTGATTGGCCCCTTTATTCATATAGAAACACCATCTGTACATTTTTACAGCAGACATCTACTGTACGGCGGGGGGGGAAGGGGGAGAGGGGGACGCACACCCACTTTCAGCCCACAACTGCAGCTCTCTACCCCATTCCCCAGTACTGTATACTGTAGTCGTGCATTCTATTTTAGTTCCGTTCAGCAATACAGTCACGGTTTCGGAAACTGCTACGCGCTACTACTGTAGTGACCATCATTTGCATTCCTCTTCAGCCTATTACGAGAGTAAGAAACCATCTTGTGTCAACTTGCTGCAGAGTATGACGTCATCGTCATGGTTAGCAAAGGAAATATTCTAAATACACGAACAAATACTGTACGCATTTGATTTCGGACATATATTTTCATATTCTATTTTAACCCAACCCGTCATCCCGCAGTGTGTAGAAACGTGATTACTAAATTTACGTCATGCCCTGTAGACTACGGCGCATGACGTCATAGTCAATCATTCACTGCACGGTTGTCCAGTACAGTAGTACTTTTGCTTCCCTCAGATCTATGATCCAGGGATCAATGGATTGATATTTATAGAACCATCAAGATATAAAGCTGCAAATTCAATACACCTCTCGACATATCCAAATTATATGTACTGCATCAGCCAAATAATACAATATCGTTTATAGATCAATCAATCATTACAGACCAATCAAGATACAAAGAAGCAAATTCCATGCACCTCTCGACATAGCCAAATTATATGTGCTGCATCAGACTAATAATATAATACCCTTTATAGGCCAATCGATCATTACAAATCCACATCTGTACATGCGATAACGCTTAATCATGAAACCAGCGCACACTGCTCTAAAAATGATGTTTTGCAAAAATGTTAGAATTCTTAGAATGATGTTTGGCAAATAATGTCCCATTGTTTAATCTATACAATGATTTTACATTCACGCCCTCATGCCAGTTTCAGGAACCTGAAAGCAGCCTTACTTGTTTTGAAAAAGGGGTTTGGCAGTGATATTACAATGTTTCGTGGCAGTATTGTTACAATGTTTTAGATACGGAATGATTATGGACGATGAGACGTGAGTCGAGAAGTTGGCCTGATATGCAGAACCTTGTCTATAAGATGGACCGAAAGTCGAAGTGCAATACCAAATCTTCGTATCAGCAAGTCATGTCTTCTCAAGCTCGAACGAACTGGTTTTGGTCGCTCTATGAGCGCGCCACTGCTCTTGAATCGTTCCCGGGACATGCCACCCACTTAAGGCGCCTGTGCAGGATGGCCTTGATTTCCAGCCCTCCTGGGGCCGAGATGCCAAGACAGGAGTTCATTCAAGCCATTCGTCACGGAATGCTTCCTGCCGAAGAAGCACTCACTACAACTTCGCTTCTCCAGTCCAAGAGAGAAATCGACGTTCTCCGCGACATTTGCAGTCACTACAGGTGCTTTCTGACGCCTCTTTATGTCATCGTGGCCCTTCCGTCAAGGTTTTTCTATGTACCGATGTTAGACAACATTGCGTGGTTTGCAGCGACGTTCTTCGGTTTCAATCCATCCCAAATACTTGAACTTCTCCACGACTTTGAAGATGTAGACTCGGAGTTGGAATATGCAGTTCCCGAGCTTGATCATCCTCTCGGACGCACAGGAAACCACAATAGCCGTTCATAAAAATCGATTTCCATTGAGAACTTGCTTCTATGCCCCTAATGTTCAATCACGTTGTACAAGTTCAGATCCCATCAGGCAATAGTTGCATGGAAGGAAAGGGTCTGGTTGTTTTTGTATGGTGGGCTCAGAGTGTCTTTGTCGTTCATTAAAATGGGCCCTTGCGTCCATATGGTCAGGGGCCGGGGTATAGCCCGCCGACTCCCTTGACCATCGAACGAGCAGTAAGTACAAGACGTAACTACGAAAACAATTCAGTGTATCCACAACAGTCGGGGTGCAACAATGAAAAACAGTTGTAGAATGATGTTCACTGCGGCAACGACAACAACATTGCTGTTCCCACTGTGCAGTGAGAAAATAAACAAACTGTCGGAAACAGACGCTCACTAAGCTTGGCTCTATTCTCAATCTCAAGGCGGACTATTGCAGGGGATTAGTGTGTACTGCAAAACGAGCACTTGTACGTATCAAACAATTGCCTATCTGTACCGCGAACATGGAATATTATAAAAAAGAGGACTGAACAGACCCATCGGGTGTGACAAAAGCCGCTCAAGTGGACGTACCACAACTCCTATGTACGGAAGAAAAGGCGCCGTCCGACTTCACTCTTCTCTAAGTGACAGTCCTAAGTTTCATGACCCAAATCTTACAAATTCGTTACACCCCTCGGAATTGTTAACATATATGTGGTGTATCAGACCAAAAAGAGATTAATTTTTATAGACCAAACAATCCATAAAGATTCAATGCACTTCTCGGCATAGTGTATTTACAGGTGCTCCATCATACTATAATGGATTGATCTTTATAGACCAATCAAGCTGTAAAGCAGCAAATTCAATACACCTCTCGACATATCCAAATTATATGTGCTGCATCAGCCAAATAATACAATATCGTTTATAGATCAATCAATCATTACAGACCAATCAAGATACAAAGAAGCAAATTCCATGCACCTCTCGACATAGCCAAATTATATGTGCAGCATCAGCCTAATAATATAATACCTTTTATAGACCAATCGATCATTACAAATCCACATCTGTACATGCCATCACGATTAATCGTGAAACCAGCGCACACTGCTCTAAAAATGATGTTTTGCAAAAATGTTAGAATTCTTAGAGTGATGTTTGGCAATAATATCCCATTGTTTAATCTATACAATGATTTGATAGTCACGCCTTTGTCCAAGTTCGAAAAGTCAAACAAAGCACTCAACACCACCTAGGTGTTGCATATAAACAGACTAACGTTATCAGTGCAGCGGGAAGACGCACCTTCGAAAACCATGGCATCTCTTTCCCGATTGAATCGCCATGAGTGGCTCTACCAGCGCGCCATGATTTTACCAGTTTCTTTTGGACCCCCTGGATATCTTCGGAATGTCTGCATCAGCTTGCTTCTGGCATGCCCTCCTGGTTCAGAGCAGTCGAGGGCCCAAGTTATTCAAGCCCTGCAGTCAGGATTGCTTGCCGAAGACAAGGCGCTGAACATGGCATCTCTACGTTCTTCGCTTCAAGAAATTGACCTGTTAAGGGACATTTGCTCCCACTACCGTTGTCTTATGACGCCTCTCTCTATCGTCGTTGCTCTCCCATTTCGATAAGTCTCTGATTCAGTTTTTTTCGACATCGCTTGGTTTGCATCCGTCTTTTACAAGTTCAGTCCTTACCAAGTCATAGCACTTCTGCATGACTTTGAGGATGCTAGTTCGGAACATGAGTATCTTCTATCTTAGAGTATCCAAGTTACAGCTTTGCTCCCATCAAGTAAACAACGTGTCATGCCTTCCCATTTGCCGATATTAACGACGTTCACGAAGACAATTCAATTGAGCACTTGCCCATTATCCCCTGTATGCCTGAGTCTTGGGTTACACCGTTAACAAATGATTTCTGAGTACCAAAAACCCATTTGTGCACATTTGATTTGCATGTCAAGTTCAGAAAGAAACCAGTATCACAATCACTTCCTATACCCATGGGTTGGACGGATGGGAGGTTAGGCGTCGAAATTGGCATCGCTATTGAAGATTCCTGGGATG